GGTGGAGGTTGTAAGAGTTCTCGGGCCAGAACTCCTCCCACACCCCGAGAGGATCTGTATGTAATTTCACAGGCTCCAGAGGTATCAAGGCCATGGACAAGAGCTCCAAGGTGAGGAAACTCCCTCTTCCAGTCTGGCTGCTCAGCAAACCCAGCAGTTCTCAAAGACACTCAGCCAGAGCTCCGTGCTGCGGCTGCTCTCTGGAGAGATGCCTTAGCAGTGGTCACTTCCATTGGGGGTCTTCTCTTCCACTAGTCTCTAGAACACATGCTCTTGTGTTAAATGTGAGCTCCCTTCAAAGCAGAAGTGTTCTCTCGGGGATGAGAATTCCCAGTCCTCCAGGTATTTCCCGTCAGAACCGGCTTTTTTCTCAGTTAGCTGACTGAGGTGTTTTAAAGATCTGGCTGTGGTGTGTAGTGAGCGTGCTGAACTTGAGCCCGAGGAGCTGGGGCGCCACGATTCTGATCCCCAGCTTGCCAGCACATACTCTCTCTCCCTCACCCTTCTTCCCTCACCCTCTTCACCTCTTCTCTCTTTTCGTCCCTCCCTCCCTTTCCCTCCATCCCCCCTTCTTCCCCCTCTCTTTTCCTACCCTGCCCCCTGTCTCCCTCTCACCTTGGCCTGTTCAGCCTCTGTGCTTTGCTCCAAGGACTCCTGACACCACAGCAGAACAGCCCTGGTATGTTTAAGACACTGACATGTGATAAAGAAGTATCACAAGACAGTGAGGAAATGCACGAGACAACAGGTTCGCATTGGTTGGGGACCAGTCAGGTTCGATTTCACCTCACCATTGTATGCCAAAGTAAATCCCAAATGGATCAAGAGTTTTACACAGTGGCTGGGGGCAGGTTCAGTGTTAGAGAACTTGCCTAGCATGCTTTGAGTCAGTCCCCGGTTCAATGCCCAGTATAAGGGGAAATCCATCATAAAAAGAATTAATAGAAATAAGTGCAGCTTATCATAGAAAGTAAAGTACTCCGTGGTTTGGCATAAAAGTGTGGAAAAAAAGTAGATTTAAGCAATTAAATTTTGGGCAGAGCACTTCTGGGTGCTCAAGGCCTTAGGTTTTGGTGCTCAGCACCACAAAATAAGTAACTTTGTCTGTTGTGGTATCATAATTAATGCTGTGTTGAATGCTAGTTGGGAAAAACAGTAGCCACAGTCGATGGCTAATACCCTCGTATATGAAGCTCTCAATTGAAAGAATACTGGCCTAATGAGCAAATAAACAGAAGGTTCATAGCTGCATACAGATGACTAGGACTGGATGAAACTCTTTTCTCTCTCTCTCTCTCTCCCTCTCCCTCTCCCTCTCCCTCCCCCTCCCCCTCCCTCTCCTTTTTGTTTGTTTCCTTGAGATGGGGTCTTGCTCTGGGTGGCTTAAGTGTGGTTGTGTGGTCTTGGCTGGCCTCAAATTCACAGAGCTCTGTCCACCTCCTGTCTCCCAAGTGCTAGATTAAAGGCATGGCCACTGTGCCTGCTGTGACTTTCAGAAACATAAAGCTTCAGTTTTCACCTGTAAAATTGGCCAAGTTCAAGGTAATGGTATGCTGCTGTCATGGGGTGGGGGCGGTGAGAAGCTGTGTCATACACTATTGGTGGGAAGCTTCACTCTGATCCTTTGTCTGCTCTGACCACAGTCTGTCCCTTCTCAGAGTCCCCTTCCCTGGCGGTTCCCTCTGAGCTTCTTGTGTGCCCTGAGTCAGTCACGCCATTTCCTCTTGAACATCACTTTCAAGACGCCAGCCAGCCAGCCTTTCTCTGTCACCTCTTCTGCAGAGCGCCTGCCTTTGGCATCTCTCCTTACCTGGGATGTGGAGGGTAGCCAGAAAGACAGTCCCGCTGTGCAGGTTGGGGCTGCCAAAACCTCACCGCCTGCAGCTCTGCTGGGCTCTAGTGCTGCCTCCCCACCCCTGGCTTCGTGCCCAGTCCATTTTCCCCAGTGCCTTTGCCAAACTTTCACTTTCTCACAGCTGCTCCACCCTCCCAGGCACACCCGCTCCCCTTGGGTTACCTTCCCAATTTCCAGAGAAAACTGGAGGTCCCACCGTTGGTCTCAGGGTCTGCCTGAGCAGACTCTGTTCCCGTCGTTTGGGCAGGTGTGTCTTTATCCTCCCGCCTCCCGAGGTCCTGACTCACTCTTCTGCGCAGCCCCCTCCTACAGAACTCTGTCCTCTCAGTGGATGACAGTTCCTCCCGCCCTTCTTGGTACTGACTTCATCTTGGCCTGCATCTTGACCTCTGATACCCATTTGGCTTATTTTTGTATCCACAGGATCGAACAAATACTGTTTTAATGAATGAATCCCAAACCAATTGGAATTAAAATTTTGTTTTGATTAATTTGTTTGTTTTGATTTTTCCATATAGGGTTTCTCTGTCCTGGAACTCATTCTGTAGACCAGGCTGGCCTCAAACTCAACAGAGATCCACCTGCCTCTGCCTCCTGAGTGCTGGGATTAAAGGCCTGATTGATGTTTGGGTAGTGTAGTGTAGTGGGTAGCCGGTCCAGCTTTGACCTGGAAGTACCACCCCCATTGAGGCATCGATAACTGTCACGCCTATAAGGCGGAGCTGAGAGAGGACCCAATATCCCTGGTGGTCTAGTGGTTAGGATTCAGTGCTCTCACCGCCACAGCCGGGCTAGCTCAGTCGGCAGAGTATGAGACTCTTAATTTCAGTGTTGTGGGTTCGAGCCCCAGGTTGGGCACCAGATATTGGTTTAAATATTAAGGCAACTCCATGTAGTTAAAAGGGAGGTTTATTTTTTGGGGTAACTTACAAATGAAGGGATAGGTAACAGAGTCTGGGAGAGGTGAAGTGCAGTCCAGCGGTGTTCTCTGGAGAACTCTGCTCGGTCTACCTCCAACGTCCAGGAACCAACAGAGCTGGCCCATCAGATGTCGGGTCTTCAAGGGTCCTCTCTCAGCTCCTCCTTGTAGGTGTGACAGTTACTGAAGCCTCGGTGGGGGTGGTACTTCCAGGTCAAGGCTGGACCAGCTACCCACTACAGTTTTGTTTTCGAGACAGGGTCTTGCTATGTAGCTCTGGCTGTGTTGGAACTCATTATATAGACCAGGCTGGCTGGAGCCCACAGAGATCCGCCTGCCTCTGCCTCCCAGGTGCTGGGATTAAAGGTGTGCACCACTACATCCAGCTCTGTAGCCTGATCTTTTGGAGGCATTTTCTCAGTTGAGGTTCCCTCCCCTCAGATGACCCTAGCTTTTGTCAAGTTGACATAAAACTCTCCGGCACAGCCTCCAATATGTGATTCCTGCTCATGTCTTCCACACAGTTGCCTGGAAGAACTTTCTGGAAAAACAGCTACAGTAGTGATAGCTAATACTTAATAGATTTTTTACTAGATCTTAGTGCTGTTCCAAATATTAGTCATGTACCAACTTGTTTTAGACTCAACAATCCTGGGAAATGATTGCTGTTACTCCTTTTTATTGGTAAGACAGAAGCACAGGTCACAGAGCTGGTCCATTTGTTCCAGAGTCTAGAGCCTTGATTACTTTATGTTGCAACTAAACAAAAACAGTTGGTTGTTGTTGTTTTTGTGTTTTCTAGGAAGTAGGCACTTTGCCTATGTATCTACTTGAATCTTTCAGTTCTGTACAATAGATGTTCATTCTTCCTAGCTTCATTTTCTAGTAAGCACAGGCACAGAGGTGCCAAGTAATATGCTCGTGGTTGCTCAGGTCTTTGGTGGTGGTTGGACTTGGCTCCAGGCTTCACTCTTAGATATATCTCAACCCTACAGTGCCAGGACATTCTTGGGAGCCCGGGGGAGCTGCAAATGCGCTTAAGGGTGTGTTAGGTTCCATCTTCAGAGTTTTGAAGGAGATGTAAGAGTTCAGGAGCTGGTGGGAAGGAGAGTTCCTGCTTAACATGATCAGGGACCAGCACTGTACCAGAACATTTGAAGATGTTCTCATGATTGCAAGAGAAAACTGTTATCTTATTTGTACAGCATCCAAATAACTCATGCTGGAATGCTACATTTCCCCAGTAATCCTGGAGGCCAAGCACTCTGTCTCCCCACCCCCAGTTTATTAATTGACTTCATGGACTGACTTTTGGTTGTTTTTTTTGTTTTGTTTTGTTTTGTTTTGAGACAGGGTCTCTATGTAGCCCTGGTTATCCTGAAACTCACTGTGTCACTCTGTAGACCAGGCTGGCCTTGAACTCACAGAAATCCACCTACCTCTGCCTCCCAAGCATTGAGATTAAAGGTGTGCACCACTACTTCCAGCTATAAATTTACTTTTGACAAAGTCTTAGGCATATAATGACCACAGTAGCATGTTGCAGCTGCTGCACAGTACATTGACTTGCTGTCTTTATCAGTGCATCTCTGAAACCCAGTGAGGAGAGGAGTGTAGGGCATTGGGGAACATGTTAGTTCAGTAGTTCTCAACCTCCCTAATGCTGCAACCCTTTAATACAGTTCCTCATGTTGTGGTGACCCCAACCATAAAATTATTTTTGTTGCTACTTCATAACTGTAATTTTGCTACTGTTATGAATTGTAATATAGATATCTGTGTTTTCTGGTAAACTTAGGCGACCCCTGTGAAAGAGTTGTTTGACCACCAAAGGGGATGACAACCACTGTGTTAGTTTATGATGATTGACTAAACATTTATTTTTTTCTCCCCTGTTAAAATCCATTAAATGTTATAAAAGATATTGTTTTTAAGTTATAGGGAAAAAAAAGGAGTGGAAGCCATTTAGCAGAAGTCCCAGGTGTGCCTATTAAGAAGTGGGTCACTGGACAAGGAAATCAAGTACAGATTGTTCATTCATTCTTGGTCCAGATCAGGACAGTAGGACATTAGACATACTTCAGAAATACCCTTATACCCAGGCTTTAACAAAAAGTGGGCAACTAAACAGCATGCAAATTAAAAACTAACCCACTGTTACCTGTTCAGAAGAGGAAATGGAATGTGGACAGAAAATAAAGCAGGTGTTTATATCCTCTCATTTCCCAGGATCCAGGGCTCCTGGATTTGCACAACCCCAACAGCCAGACCACTACAGTTACCTCAACACACAGACAGACACCTCCTTTCTGAATATTGTCATGCTGAGGGCAGTTTTGGCCCCCTTTCCTCCCAGAGATGTTTGGGAATATCTGCAGACATTCTTTATGTGACTGCTGTGGGGGAAGGAGAGAATAGAACACATTGTCACTCATTTCTCTGTGGGTAGAGGCCAGGATGCTGTGAAATACTCCACAGTGCTCAGGTCAGCCCCCACAGGAAGGAATTACCTAGATCAAAATGTCAGCAGTGTCAGGTTTGAGAAACACTAAAATTCTAAAGAGCCTAGCTGGCTAGCAGCCTGAGCTTCTCTATCTCCCAAGACCTCCGAGACCAGAGAAGGTGAAGTCCCAAGAGTTGAAAATTGGTAATCTTTCAAAAGCCATACCATGCTAAATTCCTGGAAAGTAGATAAAGTCTGTAAACTGTTTCATTGTTCCTTGCATATCTGCTTACATGTTGGCCCTGAGGTGTGATAGCAAGAGTGACTGCCGGGGCAGAAATACCCGCTTTGGAACTCCCTCCTTTCCCCTCCCACTCTCGTCTTTCTGTCCTGGAGTCTACGTGCAGCCTCTGTGGAGTTGGCTTGTGCTTTAAGAGCTCTTTGCCATCCTTCCCTAAGAGCCTTTCCCACCCAGAGTAGGTCCCTGTCAGTGCGCTCTTCCTGGCCTCTCTTCATTGGCCTTTCTCTCCCCACTCCAGGGGTTAATGGGGGCTCTTGGAGATGGCCTTCTGGCCTTTGTCTCCTTAAATATGGTATTTTTCTCCAGTTATTCAGGATGCTGTTCTGTTGTCCCTTGGTCTTGGGGTTTCTGCCGGATAGCCATCATTCTCTTTCTTGTTCCCTGTGTGTCCTTCCCCCTTCTGTCTGCTTTGAAGATTTACTCCATGTCTTTGATTTCAACAACAGTTGTTATAATACTGACATTTTTTTCTTTATACTTATCCAGCTTAGGTTCTCTGGTCTTGTTGGATTTTAGTTTAATATCCTTCAGTTATTTTAAAAGATTTGTCTACTTGTGTCTGTCTGTCTGTCTGTCTTGTGATTGTGTTTGGGTGGGGGGTGTCAGAGAGAGTATCGGGTGTCCTCTATCACTCTCCACCTATCTGTTTGAGGCAGGGTCTCTCCCTGAACCTGGCTCTGTGTTTCCTTGCTAGGCTGGAAGTCAGCAAGCCCCAGTGATCCTCCTTTGCTCCCTCTCAGAGTTGGGGTGACAAGCCTAAATGGGACACCCAGCCTGTTACTGGGTGTTGGCACCTGAGTTCCACTCCTCATGACTGCAGCAGATGCTCTTAGCCACTGTACGTCTCTCCAGCCTCTCCTTAGCTACTTTAGAAAATGCTTTAGAGAGTGTTTCTTCTGTCCCTGTGCCCTCATTTCCCTCGCAGGGATTAATGGTAGACTTGATTTTGTCCTCTAGATCCTGGGCACTTTGTTCCACTTTTTTCTCCCTAGGGCTTTGTTGGGAGAATTCCTGTACACTTCCAGACCCCTCATCTGCTCGTGTTTGTTGTTCGTTTTTTTACTAACCCCTTTTATGTATTTATCATATTATTTTAGAGTTCCTGCATAATTGCAGCCAGTACCTGTGCTGTCTCTTGAGTCCAGTTCTGTTGACTGTCATAATGTCTTCTGGGTTTTTCCCCTGTGCTTGTTTGTGACCAGATTCCAGCTGTGTATGGAAAGTGGGAATGGCAATGCCCCTTCTGGGCTGTCAGTGTCTTCATTTAGCTTGCAGTTGTTTGGGTCTTGCTTTGTTGTTGCTTTGCATAGCCTCCCTGTGCTTTGGACTGTCCTGTGTGTCCTTGCCCTGCTGCCTTACGCTGGAGTTGAGCAGGCCGTGTGCCCATCACTGAGCGCGCTCTCAGCCCTGCTGCCCTTGTGCAGTAGAGGTCTGCTGCCTGATGCTCTAAGGTCCAGAGCCCCACCGTGTTTCTCTCAGGTTTCCCACTGGTCTTCAGCAGGCTCTGCATTCCATTGCCTCAGTTTGCCTCATGAACTGATGTATGGTAACGCTGCCAGTCCTCCAGCGGTCTGGTGCAGGTGCCTCTGTCTGTCCAGGACGCGGCCAGGATAGGAGCGCTCTCTGAGTTTCCCTGTCCTGCTCTCTGACTTTGGCAGCCCCATGCACTCAGCCGTGGCACCAGCTCTGGCACTTGTACTCCCCATTGTTCACATTTCCAGCTCCCCCATTAGATTGGACCTCAGAAGTCACTTCTTTCAGAAAACCTTTTTTGACATCTGGGATCTGTGTTCAAGGTTCCTCCTGTTTTCTGATTTTCTCTGCAAGTGGTTTTGATTTTTTTATTTTATATTTTATCAACAGAGAATTGAGCCTAGGGCCTGTGTATGCTAGGCAAGTACTCTGCCCCTGTTAATTAACTTGTCTGTGCCTCGGTGTCTCATCTGGGAACTGAGTATAGTAATAGCGTCACTCTCAAGACTATCCTGAGGCAGAACAGGTGAGTATATTAGATGGTTAAGAGCATCACTCTGCAGTGATGACATCCAGAGTCAGAACCCACTGGTGAAACCTGGGCAGGCCACCTCTCTGTGCCTCAGTTTCCTTACCTATAGAGTGGGAAGAATAATACCTACATCAGAGTTATTTTGGGCTTAACAGAATTATTTCCAACAGAGCACCTAGGTCACATGGGGCCCACAAGAATGGGCCCAGTAGATAGCTGTCACGGTGGAGAGAATCCAGGGCGCCATGACCTTCCCTGTGGGAGTGTTCATTGCCTGGAAGAAAATCGTTCCTTTTCCTCGACAGTCCTTGCGCTCTGGTAGGACAGGAGCCGTATCTCTTACTCATGGCTCATGGAAGGGAACTAAACAAATATTTATTCAGTGACTGAATCATGAGAGGGTTGTGGCGGGTGACATGATAGGAACTGTGGTCAAATCCACAGCCCCACTCGTTTCCATTAAGTTATTCTGTGGGTCCTTTTGAGAAAAAAAACACACATGCTTGAAATGAGTTTTCTATTTTGAATGTCTACAGAATTCTTCATCCACCAAATGCTCCCTGAACTTTAGAAAAATCGAGTCAAGATTTATAGTATTCCACACCCAGAATTTCCCCATCATCCCTCCAGAGCAGCCTCACCCCGATTTTCCAAGTGAACAGATTTTCCTTTCTTTTTGTGAGCATGTTCATCTTGGAACTTTCTGGGCTACTTCTGTGACTTGTTGTTATTGTAGAAACCTAGGTGAGCTCAGTTTTTCAGGTTCTCAGTACTGCTCACATCTTGAAACTGTAGAGATGGTCCTGCATTTTCAAAGCAGGTTTGGATATTCTCTTTTTGACTATTTAATTGTAGTCTCTTAAAGTTTGTGTGGGGGGAATGATCATGCAAATATAAATAAAATGAGGGTCTGGAAGGCGAAGGGCTGTATTTTTAGACCATATGCTTAGTTTGTGGTGGAGTCACCAGCAGAATCTGTCATGAGAATAGAAGAGGAACCCAACTTTGTGTTATGCTGAGGTCCCTTCTTTCTGAGGTGCAGAGGCTGGTCACATGGTATGATTCTAGTGGGTGTCTGCCTCAGAAAGTGAGGATTGGGCTGTAAAGGTTCTTATCACTTTAGTAGTGTATTGAGTGTTCTCATAAAAGATGATAATGTATAAATGTCATATGTTAAGTTTTTAAACTTCTTTTTGTGGTGCTGGGGTAGATAAGAGGACCCTGTATGTGCTAGCCAAGTGTTCTACCACTGAGCCATACCCGGCTCCTGAGACCTTTCTGAATGTTAATATTGGCAGTTTGATATTAAATGGGGAGCTCTCTTGATAGGAATTCTAGGTTTAAGTGGGGTGTGTGGCTTTTTATTGTTGAAACAGAGAGTCTCACATCTCATATTGGCCTTGAACTTCTGATGTCTCCACCTAGTCCTCCCACATCCTGTGATTACTGGCATGCACCATCACATTTGGTTTGTGTAATGCTTAGAGCAGTGGTTCTCAACCTTCCTAATGCTGCAACCCTTTAATACAGTTCCTCATGTTGTGGTAACCTCCAACCATAAAATTAGTTTTGTTGCTTCTTCATTACTAATTTTGCTACTGTTATGAATCCTAATGTAAATAGCTGTGTTTTCTGATATTCTTAGGCAACCCCTGTGAAAGGATTGTTTGACTCCCCCAAAGGTGTTGTGACCCACAGATTGAGAACCTCTGGCTTAGAGACTCAAGTCTAATGATTTATGTATGTTAGGTCAGAACTCTGCCAGCTGAATCACACCCTTAGCCCAGGAATCCCAGTCCCCAAGCCTTTTAGTTTTTAATACCCCCACCCCACCCCCGTCTTTCTGAAGGGTTTCTCGGGTGAGTAGTTTGCAGCCAGTGATTTGCTGTCCTAACTAGCCTGTTGAAATAGCTGCTTAGTTGGCTCTGGGTCGGTGTTCTTGAGTCTGCCTCGAGAGCTGCAGAGGCCTAGGAGTCTCCTACCTCCCTCCGTTCATGTATGCCACAGCCAGAGCTCAAAGCCTGGTTCCTTAGAAGACAAGGCTATTGCAGCCAGAGCTCTGCTCTGCACTGCTGAGTCCTACCTTCCACAGGCTTTGCCCACGCCCTTTCCTGGGGCCATCTGAAGTCTGCAGGGATTGCCTTGGAAGCCTGTCCTGGTCACACAGACCATTACTGTCCTGTGAATGGGGTGGTTTGTTGACATTTCTGTCTTTCTCCTGAACTTCCCGAGGGTGGGGACTGACTCACTTCGGTCTTTTCCCCCTTTCCAGTTCTTGACGTTTAGTGTCCTCCATAAATACTGGGTGAATGAATGGGGATCTAAGATCTGAATGCCTTAGGGCAAGTTCATTCTGGGCCTGGTGCTTCCAGGAAGAGTCTGGCTCTCGCCCCGTGAACACTCACCTGGGAACTGCCTCCTCCAGCTGATGTTGCTCAGCACTTAAGATGTTGAGGCTTTAATGGAGGACTGCACTGCGCCTCCAATCCTGACTCTCCATGCCCTGGTTATTGGGTGCCAGTGGTTCCCTGTGGTGGCTTCCGTTCCTCAGGCGTCATCACACCCACCCCTCTCACCCACCCCTCTGTTTCCCTTGAAAGCTGGTCTGTCCCTGCCCTCTGTTAGAGCTTGTCTTTTATTCCTAGGAGACCGTTGGCACAGTACCTTCTTCCCGAGAGAAACTCGGTAACTTGGGAAAGGTCATCTTTGAGTAAGATGTGATTTTTAGTCTGAAGGGTGTTCAAATTTGTTGTACCCCTCTGAATAGCTGACAGTCCCAGGACAATGCCAGGGACCATTGTAAATGACATATGTAATCACAGAGATGGTGTTGGGCTGGAGAAAAGGCTCAGTGTTCAAGAGCACTGGCTGCTTTTCCAGAGGACCTGGGTTCAATTCCCAGCACTCATATGGGGGCTCACAACCATCCTTAACTCCAGTTCCAGGAGATCCAGTGCCTGCCAATGGCTCTGCAGGTACCAGGCACACACATTGTATTATATATAATACATGCAGTCAGAATACCCACACACATAAAATAAAAATAAATAAGTATGAAAAAAAACCCAGGAAGATTGTGTTTCTAAATAACCAGTATGATACTATTTTATTTCCATCTTGGAGTAATGATGACTACCATTTTAACAGTGGAATGGACACTCACACAAAGTCAAGGGTATCTGGCCCCTCAGACCTAGTTCCTGGTTCCTGTCACATGCTGAATCCCTCTCCTTCCCTGAAATGGAACTCAGACTCTGGCGTAGCCAGATTCTTATCACTGGTTGACTTCCTGGAAGAGAAGAAGGCAAGAGTAGTCCAGCCATGAGTCACACACTTGAGATGTGCTCTGGGCAGCACTGAGCTGGGAAGAGTATGCTCTCTACCCAGAGTATGTATGGGAGGCTCTAGGCTGGCACTGTACCTGTAGTTATCCTCTCCAGGCCCCCGCTGCTCTGTCCTCATGACTCTGCTCTCCCTCGAGACTTCTACTACAGTGTCTTCCCGTGCCAGCTGTGCTGGGGGACCAGCTGCAGAGCTTTTTCTTTAAAAGAAAGGGACAGGGGAGGCAGAGGGCTGTAGAGAAGACACCTGACATTGACCTCTGGCCTCCACATGTGCTCAAAGTTCTGTACACAAGAGCATGTGTGCATGTGCACACATATACATACCGTGAATATTTAAAAGGGGGAGGCAGGTAGGATATGCTGCTAATTTTCAGTGGTTCTGTGTTGGGTCCAGGCATGGAGATATTGAGCCATGTTTCCCTTAAGGGCAGGTTCACATCTCAGAAGTGTAATGTGATTTCATCTTTGTGGAATCATTATGAGCATACTTACACACCTGCTGTGTACCTGGGCTGTGTGGTATGGCCTGTTCTTTTGTTGTACAATATATACTATGAGATTAAGTCAATCCCAAGAGAAAATTATCAGAGCGAGAATCAGTAAACTTGAGATGCAGGAGGCTGCTGCCATAGTAAATGAAGAAGTTGTTCTTTTGTTTCCTTTTCTTTTTGTTCTTTTCCCTTCCTTCCTTCCTCCCTCCCTCCCTCCCTCCCTCTCTCTCTCCTCCCTCCCTCCCTCCCTCCCATCCTTCCTTCCTTTTTGGACAGGGTCTTTCTATTATGTAGCCCTGGCTATTATAGCACTCACTCTATAGACCAGGCTGTCCTCAAACTCAGAGATCCACCTGCCTCTGCCTCTGAGTGCTGGGATTAAAGGTGTTTACCACCATGCCTGGCTTAAGAAGTACATTCTAAAATAACAATGAAAATGTAGTTGTGATGATTAGCTTTTATTATCAACTTGGCATAAGCTAGGGTCACCTAGGAGAAGAATCTCAATGAGGGATTGTCCGCATTGCTTGGCTTGTGGGCGTTTCTGAAGAGTGTTGTCCTAAATTAATTAGTGTGGGAAGACCGAGCCCAGTGAGGGCGGCGCCATTCCATTGGTTTGGGATCCCTGGCTGTGTAAGGATGGAGAAATAGAGCTGAGTGCAGGCAAGCCAGTGAGCATGTGTACATCCATTTCTTTCTGCTCTTGACTGTGTGTGTTACATGGTTAACTGCCTTGAATTCCCCTCAGTGATGGACTGTAACCTGGAATTGTAAGCTGATACAAACCTCTGACCTCCTGTCCTTGAGTTGCTTTTTGTCAGGGTATTTTATCACAGTACAGAAGTGAAACTAGAACAACAGTAAATCCATCAAGTGGTGAGCGCCCTCCTTTATCAAGTCTTGTGCCCTGGACATAATTGCCTGTGCTCTCTTTTCCTGTGGTTGGCAGCAAGGATGTGTTTGCAGCAGCATCTCTACAAATATGTGAGAAATGCTCCCACAGTGCACTGTTCCTCAGTGATGGGCTTTTAGCTCATCTTCTGGGACTCCTTCCCTCTGCATGAGGTTGGTCCATCAGCAATTGCAGTGCCATTAGGAGACACACAGTTGTATAGGGATCATAACAGCCACTTGTTACACACGCCCGACTCTGAATTCTAGTAAATTTTCCATCACCCTGAGTAAGATCCCTCATGCCCTTTGAGAGTGAAACCCGATAACCATTCCACCCAGCCAACTGCTAATCCACTTACTGCTCCTGTCAGTGGCTTTTTCTGGCCATTTTCAAAGTGCCAGGAGTGGTAACAATTCAGGTTGGAACCACTGTTTTTCGCTTTATTTTTTCATCTCTGTTCACTGGGGCTGGAGTGGCTCACTACAAACAGGAGACCCCTCCAAGAGCTACCATTTACATCAGCTGTGTGCTAAAGCTTTGTGAGCTGAATTGGGAACTCAGTGGTCATCTATAACTTGATTTCTGTGGAAACTCACTTTCCAAAGTCAAGATGTACCAGCACCGAGTTAGCTGCGTAGGGGTGGACAGCTGACCACTTAAATTTGTGGTCTTTTGGCTGTGTGTGTGTGTGTGTGTGTGTGTGTGTGTAGACCCTAGAGCCTCTCATATCTCTTCTATACTAGGTAATTAATTGCTCAGCCACTAAGAGACTGCTGGAGACTTTCTGTGTGGTTTTCAGTTCCTCCTGGCCTCTTGCTGCCTTACATAGCAATAAATAGGTCCCCTTCCTGTAACTTCACCCAGCTATGGTGACCGCGTTCTGTCTGCCTTGCAGCATCTTGTATGTTTCTTACCTGTTCTGACTGCTAGAAGAAAAGTTGCAATCTGAAAATCTCATCCAGGGCCAGGCGGGCGACACAAACTGCTGACATGGGCTAGGGAATGAGGTACTTGGGGAGTCCTCGAGGACACCACCGAGAAAAGTGCAGTGTGCTGGTGGCAGAGAAGATGCCCTGGACCTTGCCATAGGCAAGAAGTTTTGGTGGAGCTTTGAGACTTAGGCCACGTGGTTAGAGTAGAGCTAGCAAATAGATTCCATTTCATGTGCCAGAGGGGAAAAGGCCAGCGAGCAAACAGAAAGCTGTGGACACGCTCACATATGTAAGAGAACGATAAAATGTCACTGTGGGGCTTAGTCATTCACTGAGATTCAAATAACAGTCTGAAAAGATTGTTAGGGTTGATAAGGCTTTGTGTCTTTTAAAGTAAAAAGTAAATAGTTTAACTCCAGTGTAGAGAAGCTGACCAAACAGTATGCCTTGGATTCAGAGTTTAGAGGTGTTAGCTCGCCGCCCGTGCCATGGCTTACATCCTTTCTGTCTGCTCTTCCCCAGGAGAAGCACCTTCCTCTTTACACGCCATGCATGGGAGCTCCCTGCCCCCGTATGACCCCTTAGAGTTCTGCGAACTCAGGACTTTGAAACTACTTAGTGGGATGTATAACAAATTGTTTGATGCTTAAAGTAGGACAGGGGCTTTTACTTTTAAAAGTCCAATTCAGTAGATTTCAGATTCCTCTTAGCAGCTCAAGAAGACAGCAGAGCTGGTGAGAGAAAACAGTAAGAACTTAGCCCGCGCCTGCAGCTCTCTGGGTTTTGGAAGCGTTTGTAACAGGAGATGATAATGTTGCGCAAACGTGAATTTCTAGGGACTGAAACCCACTTTATGTGCAGTTGTCCTGTGATTTCACTGTCTGTCATGATGTGTGCGGTGTCCGGCTGTGGAGAGCACTGGGATGGATGCCTTGATCGGCTAGAGCTTCCTTGTTCTTCACAGATAACTAGAATTAAAATCAGTTTATTAAAAATTATTTCAACATTCTGTGGTGGTTCTTTTTCATTACATATCAAAGTGGATGTATGCACAGGACTGTGATCTTACATATGAGCATATAACCGGAAGCCAGCTGTGTGGTCTCGGGGACAATGGGATGGCCTTGATGTTTGGTGTTAGGATTGGTACCCCATCTGTATACTTGCTTACCCCAGTTAGCACATCAGGGCTGGAAATATGAGCCTCGGCTCTGAAAAGAATCAATTTGGTGAAGTCTTGGCAGTGAAATCCGTGTGTTATCTATGGTTCCTTTTGGCAGCGCTGAGCAACTGTAGCACTGTGTGGTCTGCAGGCCTGGAACATTTCTTTCCTGGTCTTTCCAGAAGAAAATGAGCTGAGTCCTTCTTTATATAGAGAGCTGTCCTGGTTTGTTAATAAACAGAGAGAAAACAGTTTACTGTCTCTGTGCTGAAGGATGGGGAGGGGGGTGGAATGAGGAGAGACCTACTTCCTCATTCCGTTTGTCACCACTGTCTCCAGCCCTGAGCTGTGCCTCTGCTTTGGGGCTGTGTTAGAAGTTCAGACACCGCCATTCATCGTAGTTAGTAGGCACGTCTTGAATATAATGCATAATATTGAGAAAGAAAATAGAACTGATACTAGCCCCATATACCAGTCCACAGAGTGATGCCAAGAAAGCTAGCTTTCAAGGTCTCTGCTGAGCCCAGTCAAAGTTGCTGTGTGGACCAGGTTGGCATGTGCTTTCTGCAAATGCCCTGATAGTGAGTACCTGGAGCCCTGATGACACACTAACTCAGCTCTGCCCCAGCAGCCATAGATAGTATAAAGCAGTGAGGCCTGGCTGTGCTCCAGTAGACTTTATTTATAGACCATGTTTATTTGTCCTAGACTCATTTCTGTTGCTGTGATAAAACACCCTGACCAAAAACAACTTGATGAAGGAAAGGGTTTATTTGTTTTGTAATTCCAGGTCCTAGTCCATCCTTGAGGAGAAAACAAGCTGCGAGCTTAAGCATATGATCACATCACATCCACAGTCAAGAGCAGAGAGACACGGGTGCCCCATGTTGTCTGCTTATTGCTGTTTCTAGGCTTGCTTTTCCCCTTACATTGTTCAGGATCCCCTGTCTAGGGAATGGTGCTACCCACAATGGGCTGGGTCCTTCTGTATCGATCAACAATCAAAACAATCTCCCACAGACATGCCCACAAGCCACCCTATCTAGACAGTTCCTCAATTGAGGCGTTCTTCTCAGATGATTTCAAGTTGTGGCAAGTTGAAGTTTAACACCATATATATATATATATATATAACACCATCACACATATACAGACACATGCATGCTGACATTTGAATTTCAAGTACTATAAAACCTCCTCCTCCTCCCCCTCCTCCCCCTCCTCCTCCTCCTCCTCTTCCTTCTTCCTATTTAAAAATACAAACTCTCTTAGCTTCTGACTGGCTTTGGCATGCAGATGTAGCTTGCTGAACTCTGAAGTAAACAAACCACTATATAAGGCTTGAGGATGAGGTGCGCTGGGTTTAATTTGAATCTCTGCCTCTAATGCTGTGGCTGTAGGCAAGTTACTTCCAGAGCCTCACTTTGCTCATCCTGAAATGGAGGTAGTAGTAGCTGCCACCTCGTAGAGTTGTTGTAAGAATTGAGTGAGAGACCAGAGGTGGGGCAGCTCATCAGGGCCTAAGATACACCCAGCAAGCTTAGCTGTGATGTCTCAGCCACCAGTGGGGCTCTTAGAGGTATCCTACAGCCTTTGTAGAATTCTTTGTGATATGGAGGTTGATACTCTGGACCTGACTTAAGTCACAGTCAGGTAGACTCCACAGAAAGGTGGAGGACTTGGGAAACACTGCCTTAATTTCATTCAGTGACGATCAGTGCGTCTAAATGGTGATAGCACATGTAGGCGTTCAGCACACTAGGCCCTGAAAGCAGTGAGGTAGGCTGAAGGTTCTGACCCGTGAGAATGCTCCTCAGGTGTGTCTGCCCATCGGGACCTATGTGGGTAGGTGTCATATATGCATGATTCCATATTTGTGTGAGTGTGTCATTGAAATCAGGTTCTTCAGCCTTGGCACTGGCCATATGTAGGATCTGTGGTGGCAAAAGGATGCCTCCTGTCTCTACGGGCGTCCACACCGTCATCTCCAGAACCTGTGCGTGTGTGACTTGGTTAGAGCAGAAGGGAGCCAAGGCCGTCCACATATGGAGGGGCAATTACACTGGGTTTACAGGTGGACCCCTTGTCATCACGAGGATCTGTAACTATGGAAGGAGGAGGTCACTGACAGTTCTGTGGAGGAGGCTGTGACTGGGAAGAAAAGCACAGAGTACACATTGCGTGTTGCTGGCCTGAACAGTACAGGAAAAGGGCCAAGGAATGTGGGTGGCTTCCAGGAGCTGGAAAGGGAAGGAAGTGGATTCTCCTCTGAGTGTCCAGAAAAGAGCCTGGCAGTGCTAACACCTGGATTTCTGCCCAGTGAGCCCTACTTTGAACTTTTGACCTTCAGAATGACAAGATAATGCATGTGTATTTTTAAGCTACTCAGTTTGTGGCAGTCTGTTCCAGCAGCAGTGGGGAACTAATGCAAGCTGTTGACTCTGACCCTGGTTCTCTACACTGATTAGCAGAAAACAGCTTGTTGGGACGATTGGCCAACACATCTTCCACTCTCCAGACACCAGTTGCAGCCTCCCAGCACAAGCTCAAACTAGATGCCCTCAGGGTGTTAGGGTGGTGGTAAGGCGACTGGTAACCCTTACCATGACAGTCACTTCTGGTTGGGAATCACTAGTTTAAGTTTAGAGCAACGCAGGGAAAGATAGATATAATCTTAATACAGCTGGGGCTGGCATTAAACTTGCTGTTAGCTGAGGATGGCCTTGAACTCCTGATCTCCTGCCTCCCCAGTGTGAGCACTGGATTCAGGCCTGCAGTACCATCCTCATTTCTTTGCTCCTAATTTTTTAAAATTTTACTTTGAAAAATAATGCCCTGGCTGGGTTTTAGTCATTGTGGGTTTTACTGGGGCAGGCAGTCCTCTACTCCGTGTCTGCTTTTCTGCCTAGTTCCAGTGGAATCTTTTATTGCCTCCTTTGAAGTAAAAGTTTGTTTTTGGCAGAACCCACCCATCATCCAGTGAGGATCCCTCAGCCCCTGCTGTGTGGCAGGTAAATTCTGCACTCAGGGCAGCACGGGAGGAGTGGTGGCTGCTCTCAGAGACGGAATGCCACAGTCAGGGCAGCAGTGCCCAGTGCTTGGAAGCTCACAAGTGTGCACTTCCGGGTCACTAGCCATGACTAGGAAGCCTGTGGTTCCCATAACAGATGTTCTAGGCAAGTGTTTGTGTAGTGGTGCGCATCGCAGGAGACAAGAGGGCAGTTTACAACAGTGGCATTTGGTGTGTGGGTGTCACCGGACATCAGTCCATGACTCCATGTGAGTATTGTCAAACCAACTAGAAGGTTTTTATGCACCACCCTGAGCATTTTCTGCTTTTGTAAGTTGAATGCTTCAGTTTGGAAATACTCATGTTTTTCTCTTTGCCCACTAAGTGGGCTGAATAAAGCTTGCTGTTGGCCATAACTGGAGGGCTGAATGTTCCCAGACCTCATCCAGGGCCAGGAAAGCATGTGAAGGCACACACAACACCCCTCTGAGGCCTTGAGAGTTCTATAGGGAGAAATCTTAAGACTTCAGAAAAACTACGGGAAAAATCCTGCCTGGGGAGGTAGTAGTTTAGAGTGATGTACAGTGGCTCAGCAGATCAGAGCACATGCTGAACAAACATGACCTTAGTTTAAATATCCCCAGCAGCCACATAAAAGTCTGTAACTCCTGTAAGGGGGCACAGAGACCAACAGATTCCTGGAGCTTAATTGCCACTCAACCAAAACTGTGACCTCCAGGTCTCATTGATAGAAGACACCTGATGTCCTTTTCTGGCCTCCCTATACACACATGTATGCATACATGCATATAACACACATACAAATTTTAAAAAAGAAAAAGAAAAAATCCTCTGTGTGGAATAAGCTGTATGTGAATGCTTTGTGAGACGGCAGAGTGGCCTGCATAGGAAAAAACAAGCCCCCGAGTAGCATGGCGAGTGGGAAGTTCCTTCCTGAGTGTTATTGTTTCCAGTTACAGACAGGAAACTTCGGAGTATTTTCAAGCACAGAACATTGAACACAAAGAGGCTCTGACAGTACAGAGTTGAAATCGGTAGCAAGATGTCTGGCTCAAAACTCTTGCTTAGCAAACATCTTGTACAATTGGCTTGTTTTGTACAGTTGTTTTTTATTCCCACCTTTAGATGTCTTAGTTCAATCCATTGTACCCAATCTTTGTTCTAACAAGTTAAAGATAATGGCAATCAGTCAGAGTTTGCACAATTCACATTTACCTTGTGAGAAAGCACTTTAGTCAGTAAATATAATACACCTTAGGAAATCTTGCAAATTTTTATAGCTGGTTCGCTTCCGTACTGAGTGTGCACTTCAGCCGGGATTCTGAATAATTGCTGGCCTTCTCCCAGGTAAGAATTTTACATCTCTGGTAAAGATGAATGCCTTAAGTAATTGTTCCTAAAAACAGAAAGGAGACTGTTAGGAAATAGGAAGGGACCACCAAGTAGGGCTGGAGAATATACATTGAGTAGTGTAAGTAAAATTGAAGTCTTTTATACACGTGTTGGACAGTGTCACCAATATACACTAATGAAAAACAATTGAGCATAGAGCCCTGGACCATCATCACCTTAAGAGGGCAGACTGGATCACTGGACCATTTTTGGTGGTGAGGACACTAGTGATTCTCAACTGAAGTAGAGCTAGCACAGGCCAGCAGAGAATCCCTGTGTGGAGGAAGCTGTTCATTTGCCAATTACACTCCACAAACAGAATAAGCAATTTAAAACAATGTTTCCTAATTTCTAGGTCGTTTTTAATAATTTCAGTGAACTCTAGTATCTGACTAAGATCCACATTGATTCATTTTCTAAAAGTAATTTTGTAAATGTAGTAAGAAGTATCCACAAAGACAAAAACAGGCAGATTCATTTTTAAACAGTATGTTGTTAACTCTTTAACATAATACATACATTGTATTTCTCAGCTTCCAATACTTTACAGATCAATTGTCCATAAATTCAGTCATTTATTTTTAAATTATTTTATTTTATGTATGTGAATGTTTTGCCTGTATTTATATCTGTATACCATGTGCTTACCTGATGCCTGAGGAAGCCAAAAGAAAGCATTGGATCTCCTAGAACTGGAGTTATAGGCAATTGTGTGGGCGCTAGAAATTGAACTCAGGCCCTCTGGAAGAATAGCCAGTGTTCCTAACCTCTGAGCCATCTCTGCCGTTCCATCTCTAAATTTAAAGCAAATGATCCAGTTAATTTGGCAAAAGGATACTAATATTGCAGATTTCCTTTCTATTTTGGGTACTTTGAGGGCTTGAATATTTTGTTACTCTGTTAGCTATTGTAGATACTGATAGTTGCACCCATTGCCTTAAGCAATAGCTAATTCTAACCATACAAAGCTCACCATATAAAAATATAAGTAACACACTGGTTTGTTTGTTTTTGTTTCTTGTTTTTTGAGACAGGGTTTGCATCTTTCCTTGAACTCACTCTGTAGCCCAGGCTAGCCTTGAACTCACAGAGATCAGCCTGCTTTTGCCTCTCACGTGCTGGGATTGAAGGTGTGTGCCACCACCGTCTGGCAACACACTGTTTTTAAAATGTCAGGTGGGTGAGCTGTTGAGGTGGTTCAGTCTTGAAAGCTCTTGCTGTGCAAGCCTGAGGATCTACATTTGATTTCCCCGAGCACCCACAGAAAAAGCAAAATGTGGTGGTTCACACCAGTGTTGAGGAGGTGGAGATTGCTGACCGGCCTGGCAGAATTGGAGAGCTCTGATCCAAAACAATAAGGTGGAGGTCCAAGAAGACACCTGACCTCAACTTCTGCCTCTCCACTATTTGGGCGAGGATCATAGTTTATTGATAAATTGTTTGCCTGATTGCAAAGCCCCAAGCCTGATCTTCAACACAACTAGGAGAGAGAGAGAGAGAGAGAGAGAGAGAGAGAGAGAGAGAGAGAGAGAGGGGGAGAGGGATGTAATTGTAAGAGAGACAGACTTGTCACCAAATACAGTAGGTTCTCCCTCTACTTTTCTAGAGAGTCTCCAGCCCCAGAAGCAGCTAATAAGGAATTACAGCCATTTATTATGACAGTGACTTCTATTTGTGTTTATAAACAGTATGTGTAAACTGCTATTCTTGGATTAGAGGACTCTTGTAGACTCTCTCCCTACTTCTGCTCCGCTATTCTCCCGGTACAGTCATGGTATAATTTTTGGCTATATTGCTATTTGATATTTGAATTATTAGAATTAATCATTTGTACCTCAGTATAGTGTATTGTGACTGTCTTCCTAATGAGCCTTTCATTTTTAGGGTTTTTTTGTAAAAGTTATTACTTGCTTTGTGTTTATGTTTGCTTACTTTTATTTGTCGTTATTGTAGAGACCCACAGAGGTTTCCTAGTGAGAACTTACTCAGGGTCTGAGAATCTAAGCCTACTTTACCAGGCAGGGCTGCATAAGGTGATGATTTGACCACGGGCATGGTTACCAGGTGTTTGGAAGGGTCTACACTTGGTTGTGCAGTGTGCTTTGATCTAGCAAGGGGGAGGTCTTTTGCCCTGCCCCTTGGCATTGTTATAAAAAGCCCTTTTGAAGAAGGGGCCATTGGGTTTTGATCCAGGTCCTCTCGAAGCTATCCTGTGTTTCTTTCTCCTCTTCACTATCTTTCTATCTAAAAGTTTCTTATCCCTCTCTCCTCCTCATAGGAACCCTTTTAAAAGGTGGAAGCTGGCCTCCCACACATTATTATATCACTGTGCTTATAAATATATAAGTCTTAAAAACCTAGATCTCCAAAATTTAAAAAAGGATAGTATGATAATATACCTCTATAGTCCCAACACTTGGAAGGTAGAAGCAGGAGGACCAGAAAAAAGTTCAAGACCATACTAACTGCATAATGAGGCCAGCCTGGGCTACGTAAGATTCTGCTTCAAAAAACAAAACCAAAACAAACTTAAAAATAAAAAATTTCAAGCAACCAAAAATTTAAAAAGCAGTAATTTGAATTGTTTGTGGTGATTGTATTGTATTTATTTTTCTGTTTTTGTACTTTCAGTCCTAGGGGTTGAACCTAGGGCCTTGTGTATGCCAGGCTTTATCTAAGCTGTACCCAGCCCTCATGTTTGATTTCAAGTCTTCCTGTAGGAGGTCACTGAACAAGGAAGTGGAGAAAACCACACACAGTGGACCAGCTAAAGCACACCTCTAAGTTACGTTGAAAGCCCACAGTGGGATTAGAACAAGATTCACTCTGCTTATTTATTATGTGTTAGATATTCGTTTTTTTAAAACAACAGATTTGCTCTTCTCACTTTTATTCCCTTCTTTTAGATTTGTGAGAATGTTTAATAGGCCTTGGGACTAAGCAGCTTCAGAATTGAAGTAGGTTCAGACCAAAGCTTACAGGGCCCTGTACAGATTTCTGGGTCCTGATGAGAGAGGAAAAAGGAAAAGTTATATACAATCCAGGATGGCCTTTTACTAAAGGAGGGACGAGGCTGTTGGCAAGAGATGGGTCTCATGCCAGGTGCTCTCCCTCAAGACTAACCTCAGGCCTCTTTTGAAGTACATGCTTGATCTCCTAGTGTGTGTGTGTGTGGGGGGGCTGTTGCATTTCCCTGCACTTCAGCAATGTCCAAGCCACTCAAGCCAAGGCTGAGAGTGCTGACTGCTGCTCTGGACCTCCTTTATGGAGTTCAGAGCTCCACTCCTGCTCACTGGGGCTTTGGCTCTCTCTGCAGCCTCTGCTCCTCTGGTCCAGGGAGGCATTTGAATCAGGGCAGAGTTCTGGTGACCTGCAGAATGTGGTAAGTGAGCCACTCCTCTAGGCCTCCAGGTTAACTGGGGCACTGCGTCACACCTGGTGCTGGAATCTTCGGTAGCAATGCCCATTGCAGTAAACACGCCACTGGCCCCAGCGTAGGCTGGAGGGGCACTGATACTTCTCTCCTTTGCTCACACATGGGCTACTCTGAGCCGTGTTTTCAGGTCATTCTAATGGTCTCCCTCACTTTTTGGCCAGTTTTTCCTTCTTTTATATTGGGTCAAGACTAAGATTATGCAGCCCTACATTCTGCCATAGTTTATTAAAAAGTAATTTCTGCCTGGCGGTGGTGGCACACGCTTTTAGTCCCAGCACCTGGGAGGCAGAGCCAGGCGGATCTCTGTGAGTTCGAGGCCAGCCTGATCTACAGAGTGAGATCCAGGACAGGCATCAAAACTACACAGAGAAACCCTGTCTTGGAAAAGCAAAAAAAAAAAAAAAAAAAAAAGTCATTTCTGCAAGGTATGTGGTGCACGCCTTTAGCCCCAGCATTTGGGAGTCAGGATCTCTAAATTTGAGACCAGCCAGGTCTACATAGTAAGTTCTGGGCCAGTGTTCCATAGTGAGACCCTGTCTTGAAAGTCAGGGAGGGCCTCCAATTTCTAGTTCATTGGGCCTCTTCTAAACTCCCCTAACTATTCAGAATTTTCTTTTTCCTTGAAACTCTCCTTGTTCGTTTTTAATGGAAATTTGGTAGGTATTGCAAACAATTTCTCAAATCATTAATTGAACCACAATCCCAAAATAATACTTTAGACTCTAGTAATTTCGGGTTTTATATGTCAATAAGCAGCCCTGTGAACTGCAGAGAAAAGCATTCTCTGCTTGTGACAAAGTACTGGCAAGGACTTTGAGGAAAGAGTGGCTGGTGAGATGCTCAGTGGGTAAGGTGCTTGCCAAGGGATTGTGAGGACCAGACTTGAGGCACCCCAGCCATCAGGTAAAAAAACTGGTGAGTGTGGTAGCCTGATGTGGCATCCTCAGGACAAGACTCCTTGCTAGATTAGCTGGATCCATAAGCTCTGGGTTCAAGTGGGAGACACTGATTCAGTATATAAGGTGAGGAACAATGGAGGAAGACACTAGGCATCGACCCCTGGCTTTCACATGCATGTATACCTGTGCACACATGTGCTTCCATACACTTGGGAACATGGACACATATGCACATACACCCATGTCAAACAAATAAGGAAGAAAGGTTTATTTTGGCTCATGGCTTCATAGGTTTAAGTCCTTGGTTGCTTGGCTCTGTTGCTTTGGGCCTGTGGTGGCACAGAATATCGTGGGAATACAAGCAAGACCTGCTCACTGCATGGTGTCAAGACAAAACAAAACAAAACAAAACAAAACAAAAACATAAACAAGAGAGACGGGAAAGGGCTGGGATCCCCAAGTCTTACCCAAGGGCTGCCCAGTGACCTAGCTTCTCCAACTAGGCCAGATCTACTGAGAGTTACCTTCCTAAAATTGGCAGCCAGCCTTTAGCAATTGGGTCTCTGGGCAGTTTTCTTCAGCTTTGTACTCCAGCAGCCTAGGCATGCCTTCTTCTGATAGCTGTCTGCATCCCATTCTCTGTGAAGTTCAGCGAATCTAGTAGTTGCTCTGAGCACTACAGAGAGAACCCTGGCAACTAGCTTTGTTTCTCTTTGAAATTAAAGGAGGAACGTTTGCTACTGTGGTGTGTGAGGCCCAAGCTTTGGAGATTTAGGACAGACTTTTCTCGTAGGGCTGGCTGTGAAAACTTAGAGATGATCATTTTAGTGCCTGAAGTTGAGCCGTCAGAAGATGGTTCTCAAAGCACCGCCTGTGTGGATTTCCATAATGCAGGGCCGCACTCTGGACACACAGAGTCAGTCTAGAATCTCTGTGACCAGCCCTGGAGAAAGGCTGTGAGTGACTCTCCACAGCAGGCTGAGGGCTGCTGCCCCACACCATGGCCTCTTGTGTTGGATTGCTGTTCAGGCTTTTTGTTTGGTTTCGCTTAAGTTGCCCTCTGATGTAAATTTCCTCCTGCCTGTTCAGTTGGAAATCCCCAGTTACCCATATTTAAGTTTCACAGGTTACTTTTCCTGCACTTCTAATTCTGATTTTCATTTTTCCCATAGAGCTGAGAAAACAGAAGTCCTCAGTGAAGATCTGCTACAGGTAACAAAATACATTTTTTTCCCTCTGGACTAGGGATCACATCCCAGGCCACATGCATGCTGGGCAAGAGTTCTACCACAGAGCTACACCACTAGCTGTCTTCTTTTTTAAGACAGGGTCTCACTGCTTGGCCCAGACTGGCCTTGAACTTACTCTGTGCCCTTCCAGGCCTTGAACTTGAATCCTCCTGCCTTAGCCTCTGATGAGGTCTTCACCTCCAGGGCTGTCAAAATAGTCTTAAAACTGTCTCTTTAAAGACATGAAATGAAAACAAATGGTAGATCTAGGACTGGCAGTGTGACTCTGGTAAGGCACTTCCTAGCATGCACAAGCCCTGTGTTCCCAGCCTAACGAAGGAGATGGTTAGAAGGGGGGACTTGGGGGCCGGGGTGACATACACATGGTGAGACTTGGCACTTGTGAGGCCTTTCACTTCTTCTTTCTAGGTGGAAGAGAATCACTAATTAGCAGGGGGTTGAATAGGGACGGTGAGGCATGGGATGGGATGGTGAGAGGAAGGGGATCCGAAACCCTCTGTCATGTTGTGGAGTTCACATGGGGCTAGTCCTGCTCCCAAGTGCCAGGTGTTGGGATGGGGTGGGGCCCGGTCAGTCCACTGGCATGGTGGCCTGGCCACAGGCCCTGGGCAGGCTGCCACTCTGATCCACTGCTGTGATGTTTTCCCTGATGGGACAGGTCCTGCCCACTGCTGGAGGCCCCAGTGGCTCCAACCTAGAGCTTTGGCGATCCTCTCTTGTTCATGCTGTTTCTCCCCATCTCTGGGCTGCTTGGGTCTTGGGAGTTTAGGCTTGTGTTGATATGGCCAGATCTAGCATAATCACCTGGAGGTCTGGGATGCTTCGTGTTGTCAGCTCAGACCTTCCTTTTCCTGCCAGGAGACTTTGGCCCCGGCCACTGTATTCCATCTGTCAAGAAGTTTCCCTGACTTTGGTCTTGGAGAAGACACTGGGGCCTTTTATGTTTCATCTCTGTTCACATCTCCACAACTGCAGAAGGCTCAGGGTGGGCGAGCCTCGGCTGCATGGAGTCTGTTAACCTGTTCGTCCTGTCTGCTTGCCTTGTGGTTCCTTCGCTTACACAGCGGTCTGTCTACTCAAGTGAGGCTCTAAAGACCAAGAGTCTGGTCCCAGAAGACTGCCTATCCCTCCCCGTGGAGAAAAGGAGCTGGGAGAAGTCAGAAAGGGCTTCCTTCCACCACAGCCTGTCAAACATCTCAAATTGTGTCAGCCACCATTTTGGTTTCCGTGGACAGATTAATTCTGGATGTCCTCATACAAAACAATGCAACATTTGAACTTCGCTTGTGCACATCCTTTTGATGGCATCCCTATTTATTTATTCACTTACAGTGGGCAAGTACTCTGCCACTTAGCCTCATCCCAGCCTCGTCTGTACTTTAAATCCCTCTTGATTATTCACAGAGCCTTAAAAGATGTTAGTGCTGTGTGCATAGTTCTTATGCTGTGTTGTTTGGAGAACAGCAGCAAAAGTACACACATGATCTTGCAAAAAATTTTTTTCTTTGAATGTTATTTAATCCATGGTGTTAAATCCATGGATGTGGAGGGCCACTTGAGCTGGGTTTTGGTGC